GTTTTTTTTTTTTTTTTTTTTGTAAAGTATTTTATTTAAATTTAATTTTTTAATTATTAGTTATCAAGAAGGACAAAATCACCCCTCACGCCCAACAGTCCATAACAACCCTACAACACGATCATATTACCTATTTGACCTGAACTAGTTACGATCCTAAAAACTAAGTTTCGCCGAAAATAAATCTGTAATTAAACATTTTGTAACCGTAATTTCATATTCTCCTAGTCACCATCGACCATAAATGTAACTTTTATTTACTCGATTTTATATATTTTAAAATTATTATTTTTTGGTTTACATATTTTTTATATTTTCCTTTTTTTAAAAGGAAAAATAAAGGGATAGGCTTTTTGGTCACAAAGTGGCGGTCAGAAGCGTAGGCAAATTGGACCGACCAAACCGCCCATTGTATGCGTGCTAACATGACGCCACAGTCCTTCCTTTCCCCCTGATATCGACCTCTGCAATTTCTTCTCGCTTTTCACATTCCCACCCCTCTACTTTATTTATATTACATTTCTTCCCCCCACCACAATTTTTTTTAACCCTCTGTTCTTTTCTAAATTGCTTTCACAACCCCATCAATTCTAAATTTCGAATTTTAACCTCAAATTTTTAACCATTTTTAATTTATACCCTTAACCTGGATTACTCTAAAATCTAATAGAATGTGTAAATTTAAATTTTAAATTTTCATAAATAACTAGAAAAAAAAAAAATTGAGCCAATAGAAAATCACTTTATTAGTAGACGTGGGACTTTCATCCTCTAACAAACTGAACAAGTTAGTGCTGCTATCTTTGCATTGGTCCAAAATATATATATATATATATTTATTTATTTATTTTCCTTATATGAATTAGGCATTTTTATAATTAATGAGTGGATATCCAATTAAGTAAATCAAGGGTCATTATCCAAACAGCCCGTAAGCAAATTTTTATAACGTAACGTTTTCTCACACCCAAACATCTCTTTCTGCAATTAACAACTTTATTTTTCCTTAAAAAATTATATAGAAAAAATAAAAATAAAATAATAAAAATAATAATAAATAGAAGGAAAATGGTGGGACTTGGTCACTTAAATAAAATTTATTTTTCTTAGCTGTATGAATAAAACCATTAACATGATAAGATAATTAAATACAATTAAAAAAACAATTAAAGAATTAAAAACAATGTCTTTGTCGATTTAATGATTTATACCTAATTAATTTATTGATTTATCTATAAAAACTTTATTTAATTTTAAAAATAATTTCACTATAACGACTAAATCGTTGTAGATTTTAAAAAACATAGATTAAATTATTATATACTAAATTTTACAAGACATAGATTAAAGAATAACGGTGGGCTTAATATATTTATAAATATTTTTGTTTTAAAAGAAAAATAACATAAAAAGAAAAGAAAAAAGAAATTCAATTTTCAAGGAGTTTGATTAAAGAATGTCTTGGGAAGTTTGACTTTAAATTGGGCATAATTAGCAATTACAAAGATTGGGAGGGGTATTTATGGAAAATTAGGTCAAATTAATACGCTACTTTTTCAATTTCTTTTATACAATCTTGGCGTCTTTGAAAATTATTTTACGTAAAAAGGGCTTAAGAGTCGGTTTTCACCAAACTAAAAATAAAAAATAAAAATAAAAAATGCTTTTGAATCTCTCTAATATTCTTTGACTATTACAATTCTACCCTCCAAAGAGTTTTTACTCGTTGACCGAGTCAACTTTAGTAATTTTTATTTTTAAGTTCATTAAAAATATTATTTTGAGTTTTTTTTTTTAATATAATCTTGTTAGGATCAAATTAAACTTAAATTTAGCTCACTAAATAAAATTAATTTTATTATTTATATATTTAATTAAATTATAGAATCATGGTACATAAATATAACTTTAGTTAATACGAGACAAAAATATATGTCGCTATCATATAGTTATATGTCTCAAATCTTAATCCAAATAATTCTTATAAGATTTTTTTAAATAAAAGTTTATTTTTGGATACTTTGTACTATAAATCATCAATTATTAATCAGATTAATACGTGTGGGACGTGCATGCCAAATTCTACCATTCAATATAAAAAACAAAATAATTATTATTATTATATTTTGAGCAATATATTTTATTTCGACTCTTAAATTTTTTAAAATAAATAGATTTATTATTGTACATTGTGTCAGCTCTTTTAATTTTTCTAATATTTATTTGTAACATAATAATGTAATATTTTATAACTACGGTAACAAAGTTTAAAAAATAAAATTACTAAAATGTAGTGGGTCAGTGCTGAATAATAATAATACTGTATTTAAAAGAAGGGGAAAAAGTCAGCCTTTGACAGTTGACTGCCAGTGTGTACAAATGGGTATCCACGTCGGCAAATTGGTCCAATAGGTTAGGCGGCATGCGGTGGACGTGGTCAAGTGGAGGTTGACACGTGGAAATTTTCTAGATGCCAAGTGGAAGGAAGAGTCAACTTCGTATGAATACTTCAAGCAAGTTGTTTGAACTTGATTGAAATTTTCATTAATTTCTAGAATTAATCGTAACATTATGATATTAATTTAAAAGAAATTGAAAATAGTTTTAAAAAAAATAAAAAACAAAAATTGAATTTACATGAAAATTGTACAAAAATATTTAAATTAAATTAAATTAAATTAAAATTAAAATAATCTTATAATTTAATTAAATTATAAAGTATGGAATAGGGGCATTAGTGATGGATGGGGCACACCACATAACAAATTTCCTTCTAGTGAAGGAGTGGGTCATGGAGGAATGCAAAAGCTTGGGGAAGGCATAATTATTAAATATTTTTAAATTTGTTGGCAAATATTTTATTTATTTATTTATTTATTTATTTATTTTGGATGTTCATCATATTACCAAAACTTTTAATAGGCACAAAAACAAACAAAATGTTTTGGTGTCTCTCTTCCCTTTTTGGTTTTGTTCTCTTTTCAATAATGGTTGTCAAGAATTTTTTATTTTATTTTATTTTTTTATTTTAGATAAAATACATTTATCGCATTATTGGTTTATTGGTTTGATCTTTATTTTACCGCACATAATATGAATCAAGATATCTCAATCATGTCACAGAATTATCGAGTTTTATTTATACAATAAAGGATTTAGGATATTGTGGTTTCATTTATTCTTAAAAGATTATAAATTTACCATGGTTTGTAATTTAGAATAATTGTATTTCATTCATGTATTTTAACATTTTTTATTTACTTTAAAGTTATATTTACGTAGTCATTAATTATAGTTATAAAATATACCTCTGGCTAATTAAGATTATAAAATATACAAGTTTCTTGGAATGTCAAAGTCTCATTTGCAGGCTATATAAACTCAGGTAAATTATATTTGCGGAAGATACTTGGTTAGCCAATGATTAAGTTTCTTTGTAATCTTATATAGTTTAGATTGCATGTTAAGAATCATTCAAGCTTGTCATAATTAATTTTGTTTGTGAAGAAATTCGAATCTCAAATAAGTGTTATTGTCTTGAGATATTTGATCAACAATTTTTTTTTTTTTTATCATTTAAATTTAATATGATCAATCTTACTTGGAGAGTGATTAAAATCTTAATCAACAGTAGAGTCGGAATCGTGCTTTTATGGTAGGATTTCTTATCATATTTGGTATTAGAGCTTTTGTGGTTGGTTCCTTATTAAATGCAAAATATAATTAAACTTTAATGCGAAAGAATTTAGAGACGTTAATAGGGTGAAAGTAAAAGAAAAATGTGAATTTAATAAACATCTTCATCACTTCTCGAAGAAACTTTGCCTGAAATCAAGCATCGAATCTCCAATAACAGATTTCTTGAGGAAGAAAAGGGGTAGATTGCAGCAATGGCGGATTCAGTGCTGGGAATTGTTGCAGCTGCAGCCATCACGTTCTACGCCGTAAGCTTATCAGAGCATCGAGAGGTACCATTCTTTCTTCTTTGTTTTCCTGTCATCTCAAGCCCTAGCTTTCGTATTGCAGTCATATACAGGATGCTAATGCTTTCTATGCTTTTACTTTAAGTGTCTGATTTCAATCTCTATTTGTTTTGGCATATGTTTGGTACTTTTTAGACCTAGAATTATTGAACCAATTAATGGCTTTTAAATTGGGGGAATGTGAAGAAATCATTCAGAGATTTGGATGAACAGAGGATGAGAAAGGAGGGTTTAAGATGACTTCAAGATCACGAGAGAGTCGAGCAAGGAAGGCTAAGAACGTAAAAGAACTTTTTATTCAACATTGCCTTAAGAATCTAGCTGTTGAGTGACATTTCTCACAGCATCCAAGGCTTTTCTACATACTTTTGGGGGGGGGGGGGGGGTCCA